GATCTTACCACTTCATCTAATGCTTCGGTAGCCACTTCTGGTATCAAAACTGGCAGTTCTCAAAAGTATAAATATATCATTGATGAACTTGGTTATTTGGTAATGAATTTTTTCTTTTTCTTGAGAAAAAAATTTTAATTATTCTTTTTAATTAATTTGACACATTTTATTTGTTAAAAAAAGAACCTGTCAATATGAAATTGCCTAAAAATGTATCCTAACTAATCATAGACGTGCTGTAGATTATTGAAATATTGTTTATATTTAAAATCTGAAAGGAAGGTTATAACGAATGTATAGGCATAGCCAATGATGAGAATCGGGCATTTGAAGTCTGCTGAAGATTTTAATGGATTGGAGAAAAAAATTTTTAAAATTGATTATGCTATTATATTGAAAACAGAATTGGCAAGATTATAATTCAAGTTGACAAATAAACAGTTCAAAGGTTTATTAAGCAAAAATATAATCTAGAATTCTGCTATATCACACAGACCAGACCGCTAGCTTAAACCAGTATATGAGGAAGCATAGCTTTCAGATAAGTATAATTTAATCAGCAGCTTATTTGAAATTATTAGATAAGTTCTAATAATAACTTCATTGTCAGATTAAATATAAAGATTAGTCGCTATAGTCAATAACACGTTGTCAAAATCAAGAAGTAAGATTCGCATCCAATTCCTCTCATCCCCAGGCAGAATCCTGTTATTATGTATACCTTTAAACTTCATATCAGTTGGCTTGCTTTATACATATAAGAGACTACATACTGAAGCTATACATCACAAATTCAGCCTATAACAATAATACCCAGCACAATTATAGTTGCTGTTTTTGAAAGCTATCTTGTCTTAGTTTGTACATCAATCGCATTGATATAGGCTGCATATTCTCAATAGATAATTATTTAATAAAATATCCCCTGCCATCGCATTACCCCTTCATCATCCCTTATTGATTTTAAAGCATTCGTTTTGTTGCTGTTTCTGGAAGCTAGCTTGTCTTAGTTTGTACATCAATTGCACTGATATAGGCTGTATATATTTAATAAAGCTTAACCTCTGGCACCGTAACTAGATGCTTCCAACTATAATAAACATATCACATGCATGCAATACTTTCGATTAAAGTTATTATTTGAGTGCGTGAGAGTGAAAACCTGGAAATTAATTTAATAATTTACTATGATCGGTTTTCAGGTTTTCACTCTCACACACTCATTTGATATGCAGATTCTAACAATTGTTATAACAATAAGACTTTCGTATAACTCGATTATATCAATAAATTACATACATATGTATGTACTTTTCTTTTTCTGGGAATTGGCCTCCCAATGTTATAATTTAAAACCATATTTAGCTATGCAAGCTATAAATCGTTACGTATAAGCTTTTTTTCATAAGATAATCATAGTTAAAAAGAATCTTAACAATTAGCTTAAACGTATAATTTTGTTTATTATTAGCAGGATGGTTATAGTATAAATATTTGTTACTTCGCATAAATATTCGTCAATTTTTAAAGTTGTTTTTTAAATTGAATCAATTAAGAATCGCGCAAACAGTACCCACTTTTACCGCATACCCTGATAAAACAAATAAAAAATTTACACAATATAGTTCTTTATCGACTTCTCAAAACATTTATTCATCTGACTTTTTGTCTGCAAGTTCGTCCAATACTACTTTACCCATAGTTGAATGTATTTCATCCGATGAAGAATTAGTTATTCCATCATCCCAAAATAAAGGAAAAAATAAATGACCGTTAATTGAAGATGATAATAGCAGTAACAAATTATAGTCTGATTCAAATGTCAAATTGTTGCTCACTTATTTATCTGAAAATTTTGATAGTTACCGTAAAAATAAAGAAAAATTCTATGCAAGTGCTGCTTTACATCTAGGTGGCAAGTCGAGTGTGCAGGTCCGTGATAAATTGCAGAGGCTAGTTAAAAAATATTCTGAAGAAAGTACGGAAAAAACAGGCAAGGGAACCTCACAATAGCCTTATTACTTTTTAATGAATGAAATTTTTGGTAATCGGGAGAATGTTCATCCCGAGTGTATAATTGATAGCACTGGAAAGGTATGTATAATATATTAAAAATATGTTACCAACATA